CCTCCACCCTCCGCCCTCCATCCTCCACCCTCCACCTCCATCCTCCACCCTCCATCCTCCACCCTCCACCTCCATCCTCCACCCTCCATCCTCCATCCTCCACCTCCATCCTCCACCCTCCATCCTCCATCCTCCACCCTCCATCCTCCACCCTCCATCCTCCATCCTCCACCCTCCACCATCCACTCTCTTCCTCTATCTTTCCTCTTTCCTCTCCCTGACTCCCAGCCCTATCTGAATCACGCCGTCCACCCAGACATCTCTTGGCACAGTCATGGAATCCTCCTAATCTGTTCTCTGCCTCTATGAGACGGCAGGGCATCGATCTCCTCCCCAGCCTCCCTCCTCCCCAGCCTCCCTCCTCCCCAGCCTCCCTCTTCCATAGCCTCCCTCCTCCCCAGCCTCCCTCCTCCCCAGCCTCCCTCCTCCCCAGCCTCCCTCCTCCATAGCCTTCCTCCTCCCCAGCCTCCCTCCTCCCTAGCCTCCCTCCTCCCTAGCCTCCCTCCTCCATAGCCTCCCTCCTCCCCAGCCTCCCTCCTCCCCAGCCTTCCTCTTCCCCAGCCTCCCTCCTCCCCAGCCTCCCTCCTCCCTAGCCTGTCCAGTCTTACCAGTAGGCACTCAACTTCAAAGCCCACCCAACACATGTGTGAGGCACATGTGGATCGTCTCCCCCACCCACCCCCATGTTCACTGATCTTGGACTTTTGTTCGTATTGATTTTCTCCGGGAACGCTGTTCTTGGTCTAATGAGCTCCTCCTCGCTCGTCAACGCTGGCCGTGCTCGCGGCCGGCGCCGCCGCCTCCAGGACGCCCACCAGGCCCACCATGTCCTGCTGGCTGCCTGTCATGTCCCCCTGTGTCCTCCACACTGCGCTGTGGTCTGAGGTCCTGCCTGTGCCCGGGAAGGTGGTGCCACAGTGCGCATCTGTGGGGTTTACCTCCCTCCTTCCTCTCATTCATTCATTCACTCGCTCGCTCGTGTGCCTGCTGGAGGGCTTCTTCCCTGGGGACGAGCTGCGGCTCCCGCAGGGCCCCTCAGCAGTCAGCTCTGGGCCGGGGCAGGGGTTCCGGGGCCAGGCAGCCGCGCGGAGCCCTGCGGAGCCCGACAGCTGACAAATGGCCCCTCTGCAGCCGCGGGGCGGCAGCTAATGATTCCCCATCTTTAATCAGGCCGGGCTGGCAGAGCCCTTTCGATCCGGGTAAATGAGTAGCTGGGGTCAGGGCTGGCTCTGGGAATCTGCCTTCCGGGGCGGCGGAGGGAGGCCCAAGGAAAACACGGGGCTGTGCCCGCGTGCCGCGAGCAGCTGAGGAG